GAGAGTGTATGCTCCTCTTAAACAAAACAAAACAAACAAACAAAAAAAGCTGCAGTTGACACAAGCGCTTCCCAAAACAGTTTATTTTTTTTGCTTTAGACTTAGTCACTGTACTATTATGCACACAACATCTGACAAATGAGAAGCCTATGTAACCAACAGGGGGAATAATGGATAAAGTTAAATGTAATTACATACTGTCAAGAAAAATTACCAGGGACAGCTGTGTAAGAGGAGCTGCCTCCAAGTGATTTTTTTTGGAGAGTACAGAACACTGGAGTCTCTTCTTTCACTAAGTATTGTGGGTTTTGTACAAACAAGGTGTATAAAGAGTATGAATATTAAGTAGCATCTAACAGAGGAATTTGAAAACAATGCATAAAAGAAATCAGTTAGATTCATTTCTTGCTCCTACCTAATTGATAAATCTCACACTGGAGAGCAGAGAACTTAAAATATGAAATGATTTTTTTTTTATTTCTGTTCTCTTCAATAGCATGCTTGTTCCATCACAGCTGCATCCATGTGCCAGATCTCACTCCAAGTTCATTTTGGGGGAGTTGAAGAACACTGCATCTTTCTTTCAGTATTTGAGATGCATTCAAACCAACATCTTCTGATTCAAGCTGAACTCAACATTAACTCCTACTATTTTACACAGTTCCTAAAGTTATATAAAAATCATTTTTTAAAAGCGGCATTATCTGTCAATTTCTAGAAGAGTAATTGTGTTTATTTGCTCTTAAACTCATAATGACATTCAGTACTACAATTTTAAATCCAGTATCTAAACCAACAGGAGGTTTTGCAGGATCAAAAAGGCAAGACTGAATATAAGGAGTTTTACACACACAAAAAAATGTAGAGAATAGGATACTAGAGTCAGCTCTGCACATAAAAGAAAAAAAACCAAAATAATATTCCATTAGAAATTCCACAAGGTACATCTAAAAAAAGTTTCATTATCCACCTCTTCTGGGCTGGCAAGCATCCATGGATGTTGTATAAACATCACAGTAAATGTCTGGGGTAGAGTTTACAATTGTTGGAGAAGCAAGTAGGAGAGTTTAAGTGTTGCTCATCAACAAGGAGGTTTATCCAGGCTTCTCAGTTTAAGAGCTTGTCAAATTCCCCATTCATTTGATTTTTCAAGTGAAATAAATGAGTATCTTCAATCTAAATCTTAATTCCCAGAAAACACAAAAAACCTGTACTACCTAACAGCCTACAGGATACCATGTAGACAATAAACATTTATTTCATTCAGCTACCATTGCTTATTCTACCAGCAAAATAAGATGCATTAGTTTAAGTCTCCTATTTTGCTCAGACAGGCTCAAATTTTAGATTAAGTGTCCAATTATTGGCTCATAAAGTCATATTACTGGCATTTCCTTCTTAGCAGTGTGAGTTTCAGCTGGCAAAGACCTTTCTTACAGAGACTGGCCTAATTCTGAAGAATGTCATGTGCCCTTCTGCATAAAGCATCAAAACAAGGGAAGGCACTGAGCAGCATCCATGGGAATAAATCTGTCCTGCTTATATCATTAACACAAATCCCAACCACTCTTTCCATTAAGCAATATTGATGACAGTGACAAGGCCACTGTAAGCTTGCTTTGGTGGCCATTAGTAAATTCTGTTTTTTTCAAAATAACAAATTTATCACTTCTGTATATATGAAGCCACAGTGAGTGGTTTAAAGGAACAAACAAACACAAAGACTGTCAAATAGCTAAGTGTTTTCTCTTGTGATACTGCATATACCTCGATGTGAAACCATGGGATATTACGATAAAGACTTAATGCTTTAATGAATTTAGGATCACTAGCTTTAAAAATTCCCAAGTACTCTCATGCTGGCTACCCCAAATGATCATTTTAGAAATCAAAGTAATAAAAAATCTTGGAGTTTTTGATTAATTTGATAGGCAATTTCTTCTATCCTAGTATCTGTAAAGTCGAACTTCTTTTGGGACACAGAACAGAGAACACTAATCCACATGTAGTTATTAGAACTTTAAGAAAAGGCTGCCATATTGATAGCAATTCTTCTGGCACTTCAGTTAATTAAAGAAAGCAGTTTAGTCATTAATCCTCCTTCATAAATATTAGTAACTGTTTAAATACGAGCTTCAGACTTCTGCATTTTTTTTCTTCTCTTAAATGACAGCACAACTTGCAAACAAGCTTCTTGCTTTTTTCCCCTATGTCTAAAATACTTCCCAACTCCAAATTTCAGTAGTCCAAAGAACCAAGCATGAAATATTACTCCCTGCATTCATATGTCACTATGTAGGAACTAAGTGTGAAGCACAACAGGGACTAAACCTTCCAGAGGGAAAAAAGAGCATTTGTGCTCCATTTTGCTGTGTTTTAAGCTGTCGGCCTCTCAGTCAAAACGCTCCCGATGACAACTGTGGCAGGCAGTCAATTTGGAAAGGACACAAAACTGCTCTTCTCTTCACCATCGTGACAGGTCAGAGCTTGTCAACTTGACAGGTCATTTGCGAACACAGTTGGAGACCTCAATGAAAATTCTCAGGTACAGATAACAGCAGCAGTTGCACAGCGAGCTCATGAAGTCAACTGTGTACAGTTCAGCCTGCCTCAGTACAACAGATAAAAACACTTTATGCTTGAAACAAGAACATGCGTTTATTGCAAAGAGCAAGTTACACCAAACATCACACCACAGCTCAAAGTCACCTGCTGCCCCTAATATGGACTAATGCCCTCTGCTCACCAAAGGCCTGAGGGAATGGCATGGAGCTGTCAGGTCAGCTGGAGGTCAGGGAAAAGCTGTGTCCCAGAGGGCAGAGGGCAAGGAACAGCCTGCCCAGGGCAGTGGGCACAGCCCTGAGTGCCAGAGCTCAGGGAGCACTGAGACACTGCTCTCAGACATCAGGTTGGGGTTGGGTGGCTCCATGTGGACTTAGGTGCTGGACTAGATTCTTGAGGGTCCCTTTCAGCTCAGCATATCCTATGATTCTAGTTTTCTCCAAAAATTATTTAGAAGAAAAAAAAAAACAAACCTTTTTTATTTCTAAGAATCTTGAGCCACTGATTAGCCAGTTAAGGGACTAGAGAATATTCAGTCTTTCCCCTTCCTTAAACTTCCTGGTGCTGAGTTAAAACGTAGGTTGACTTCAGCATTAGCCCCCAAATACAAGGCAGAAGAAAGAAAGATGAGAAAGGGCACAATTAAATGAAAGGAATACAGAGAAAAGAAAACTCTCTCAAAAATGTGATGGGATGAAATTCCTGGAGCTCCATTAGTAAACATCTGTGAAGTCTACTGGAAAAAATTTACACTTTATCTTCACTTCCAGTGACTGCTCTGTATCACACTTACAGACTATACTTAAGTCAATTATTTAAAACCGTGCCTTTCAAACTATTTAGGCAATGCATCATTTCCTTAAGATAAAAACAGTTTAGTGAATCAACATAAATGACTGCAGGGATTGTAGAAAATGCAAGCAAAAGGGTGCTGTGTCTCATTACAGCTCATGTACAGAATGTTTCATAGGTTATGATTTATTATTCAAAACTGAACTTTATGAGTAGTTACAGATCAAATTACTTCTAACTTCTTGCTACAGTAAAAAACTGTACAAGAAATCAATGAGAAAATAAAACCTCAGTAATAGAAACACTAAAACAAATCCTAAATTGTCACAGAAAATGAGACTGGGGGTGTCTTCTGCAAACAGAAAAGGGACCCAATGTTACTGAAGCTATCTGTGCATCAGTGTCCTGTGCATACAAATCATATGACAGCATCAGTTCACTTCAAGGGGTACAAGAAAGAAAAAAGTAGTATTTGCAAACCCTTTAGATGCTGCAAATTTAGTATAAGCAGAAGAACTCAGCAAAGAAGTAGCAATTCTGTATTCAGACTTGAATTTGCATTAGACCACATGCTGAACATGTAACACAGCAGAGTGACAAGCAGATCATTGAGAAGACTTCACCAGTAAAGGAGGACAAAAGGGAGGGCAAGGGAAAAGGAGGAGAATCTGATCATATTATAACAGACATCTAAAAATGCATTCAGACTAAGGAGCCATATAAAGATTTTTCAATACATCTTCATTCTGCTTTTGCTTTTTTAAAAATTCACTATTAAGTGCATGATGAGCCTGTCACAATTTTCAGCTACTTTGAAGTATTACAGACAAGCAATACAGCATGTAACTGTGTTCCAGGAAAGCAGTAAGGAGCACATATAACACTTTATAAAAACTATTCATGCTTCAGCATCACCAAATTCACAACTTAACTAACTGTATTTTCATTTAGATAGCAGGCTATAAGAGTTCCATATGGTAGAACAGAATAAATGTTTCAATGCATTGATAGATTTTGGCAATTACAAGGATGTTCTTCACCATATAGCATCTGATACTGTTACCATTTCTAGATTGAAAATACTATTATTGGACAATTTCTATGTATTTATAAGGTATGGCTTTACTGTTGAGTAATCTTGCTTACAAACAGCAACCATTATGACTCCACATAACATAACCATAAAATTTTCACACTGTTTCCATACAGCACCTTTACCATTTATTGTCTAAAAGTAGGCTGAAGCATGCATGAGTAATTGTCTCAGAGCATCAATACAAATTCAAATGCTTGGATAAAGTTCAAAGAAAGAAAAAAAAACTTCAAAAATTAATCCATGATTTATAATGGGGAAGGAAAGGGTTTGGGGGGAAAGGGATGGACTCTGATAATACGTCTGCTGGGTCTTTCGATCAGGAAACTTTCATACATTTATGACACTATAATAAGCATCATCTTGACTTTAATTAAGCACATATAAAAATTAATAATTTTGTCTTTGGAGAATTATCCCCAAGTGATGTCAAGTAGAAAATAAAAACCAAAGGCCTCATTTAATCCACCTACTCCAGGGTTCAATTTCGCCCACAATGTGTAACTGGAATTGCAAGCGGATTTAAAGAGACCACAAGAAAGAAGAAACTCACCATTCTAACTACTTCAGGGTAAGTCTGCTCTGTCAAACAGCCTCTGCTTATTGTAATGTAGTCGACCAGTTCATTAAGAGTGGAGCGCTTGTATTCTTTCATTTTAAGATCTGAAAGCGTGTCCATGAAGTCAAAAATGACACAGCACTGTTGAAGTTTCTTTAGGAACAGTTCAGGCTGCTCTGAAGATGGAACGTCTATGAAACAAGAAAGGAAATCTTTGTGAGTCTGGCATCTCTTTATAAGAAACAAGATTTATATTTGAACATCAATTCCAAAGAAAAGCAGCATTGAAATACTTTTCATAAAACAGACCTCAGATTAACAAACGGAGCCCTTATAGGAACTGTTACTACTTTGTGTTTGAGGTCCTGAACAATTTGTTGTAGCAGTAAGCTATTTGCTGTTAAGAAAATACAGTTCACAAAAAGAAGTACAGGCATAAGTGGAAAACACAAATGCAAAAGCATTCAAGACTTTATTTTACAGTATACCACTACTTCTACTGCGTTTGACATAAGCCATTGTTAACTCGCACACCAAAAAAGGATGAAAGAATTGTTAGATTGATCAAGCTTGATTAATTTCTACTTCCAAAAATACTGCCACTTATAACTCTATATGAATAGATACGAATATACAGTGAGACTAAATTTATGCAAACAAAGTTTCAGAATTATTACTTCCACATCAACTCTTGCTATAGTAAAATCAACTGCAATTTTATTGAAACAGTGAGGACACATTGCTGGGTTACAAACACATAATATGCATTAATACACAAAATAGTAACAAGTACTTGCGCAGTACAGAAAGTAGAATGTACTACTTATTATTTTTCCTTTGTCAACTTCTTAGTGCTTGTTAGTTTACCAAGTGCATCAAAAGAATGCACAGACAGCCTACGTTATCCAGTGTTCATGCACATGAGGCTAAGAAAAGCTGCATGAATGAAATACCTATTTTTAATCTGAAAGATGCCTTCATTTCCTTTGATCTGCCTTTTTTCTTCTTTTTTTTTTTTTTTGTTTTGTTTTTCAGGCACAAAAGGTCTGTTAGGAAATGGCCTTCTAAGCAATAATCCAATATGCAAATGGAAAACTTTGCTATTTTCAACTAGAAAAACTTAAATAGCAGAGAATTGATGTTTATTTCTTAAAACTTGGACATACCAGTATAAAAGCTAACCTAAGATGGAAATTCTTATCCTTAATACATGACTGAGTACGTCTTGCCAAGGAATACTTGGTAAACACTGGATGCTGTTAACAGTTTTACTGCAGTTCTAAGGAGAGTAGCTTTAACAAATTTGTTCAAATTTAAACCACGTGCATAACAGTACTAGAATCAGCTCAAAAGATCTACTGAGTATTACAAGGCACTTCACACCAACTCCTTGCACTGCTTAATTACTGAAAAGCATAAAGAATAAATTTGGATGGTGATACAAATAAACATGCTACACACTTTATGACCTGTCATCAAATAGCACAATGCATTTACTCAACCTTCTTCGATGGACAGCAATGTCACTGTGGCAGGATTCAACTATCAAACCGTACCCCACAGAGCAACTGAGATCTTGGCAAAGTTTAATTGACAAAACCATGTTGTATGTACCAATCTCCTACTTCTAAGATCTGGGAAACCCCTACAACAGCTGCATCCAAGGCAAATTAAGTGGGAAAAAGTGATATAGTTTTAACACCGCACTTCATATCATCCTTTTAATTGTTCATCCCACAATCCTACAGGTTTTACTCATCTGTGAAACAGAAGATGGAAGAAATGCGGTCCTGCAGAACTTCAACAAGGAAAGCAATGCAGGAAGAGAAAACCAAACACTTCTTGAAGTCCAAAGGTAACAAAACCAGGCCACTCTGAAGTCATTGCACTGGCCAGGTGTCACACACATTCAAATGCCTCACAGCAGACTGTACTGAAGTCTATGTCAGAAAGCCATCAGCCCTTGGTCATTGCAAAGGAGACCACTTCTGTTAGTGCTCTTCCTACGGCAGGAGCCAGTCTGAAGTCTATGAGGAAAGGAATCTAAGCATTTTTGATCAAACACGTTACTGCTTTCTTCACTGCTCTCAAACGATACGAAAGAGGAAAGTGGACTTCAGAATTCACTGTTACTAGCAATCAATGAACAATTAACTGATAAGCAATTTCTTCCTGGAGACAGGCTGTAAACACAAACTAAAAAAAAAAGGAAAGAGAAATAATGCTCTTGAGAAGTAACCAATTGCACTTATGTCCTATTCTAACTTGCACTCTTCTTTACACAAATCCAGTACATAACTTTACAGCATGTAAATAGTATCAATAAAATCTATGATGTTACATAAACATAATGGGTTTTTGTTTGCATTGTCCTACATGGCTTGCCTGCATTTACTTTGGCTGACAAGTATATCCCAGTCAATGGCAAACACAGGCTGAAAACAAACCAGAATCCATTACGATTTTCAATCCAATGTCATTATGATCAGACTCCAGTGACTCAGAACTGCATTAATTTTAATGTAGTGTCAGCATTAAATTAAAAATATATATATTAAAGCATTAAAACATCTAATGAAGGCTTACTTTTATTTTCAGTAATGTATCTGGAGGTGTGGGAAAGAAAGGAAAAATATAATTAAGTTCATCTCAAGAAAAGTTACTGTAGAATGCTACATGAATTTCATGCCAGTCTTAACTGTGTCAGCAAGCAGGCAATCTGTATGGGCAAGCTTGTCAAAAAAAAAAAAAAAAAAAAGAAAAAGAAAAACCCCAAACTTGTTCTGGTCACGTCTGCTTTTCTTTATGAAACAAACTGGTATTCACAGCGCAAAGTAAAATTGCAAGAAGCATCATGCTTTGATAACAGGTAACATCCAATGCCTATGTTTTTCTACTTGGAACCAGGAAATCTCTAAGCAGAAATCAGTAACATCAGTATTCTATGTTCACAAGCCTCCCTATGCGACTACATCATCAGTTGGTTTGGGTTCTTTTTGTTTTAGAAGGCTTTTTTTTTTTTGTTGGTGTTTTCCCTAATCTCCTAATGCCTCTCTGACAGATGTACAGGCCTTACTGAAAGACAGCTGCCACCCTCACATCCCCATTACTGGTACTTCAGTACAGAAGCTATCCAGCCCCACAGCAGAGCTCAACTCCTTAACGTAACAACTTCAGGTGCAGCTCATTACAAATGTTCACAACCAGCCGATGTAAAACAGCAAACCTCTTTCAAACCTCTTTCTTAGTTCTCAGCAGACAGATATTGCAGGGCTCCAGTGCATTTTGCAACAACTTAGTCTTGTGCTAGCATGCAACACTAACATACTGAAACATAGACTTCAAGCTTATCATTGTAACCACTTTTACCTGAAGGAACAGAAAGTTGAGTAAGTCCAGTAAAGTTTTGTGTAAAGATTTACAATACCTTGATGTATAGAGTAAAATCAAAATTATACCAATGAGCTGTACATATGATTTACATCCAATGCACAAAAGAATATACATTTATCAAAAAGCAAAACTTAAAGGCAGATAAATTTCTGTCTGAATGATCACAAGAATTGACCTCATTTTCAGAAAAAGAACCATACATTTTTCAGACATGGACCTTGTTACTACGACAACTCCAATACCACCTCTAAATGACAATGCAATTCAGTTTCTCTCTTAATAGACTTCTTCCAAAATAATCCTAATCCAACCAGCCCATCCCTTCTCCTCAATCACCTCTGCAGTCTCTGCCTTCTGATTTCTTTACCAAATGAAGAAAGAAACGTCTGGAAGCATCCTTTGACTGCAACCTTCTAACATACACATACATTTAAAAAAAAAAAAAGTTCATATTACATTCATATTTTATTAAAATATTATTTACAAGTAACTGATTGAAAAAATCATAGAAAAGTAAAATGATGCATCGGACTAGCAAAACTGCATCCAAAGAACTGAGCTATAGTACTGAACACACTCATCACAGTGGTAGTGAAGAATGAAGGAGAGATACTGAACACCTGGATCATCTCCCTGTTCCACTTCAGGCTGTACTTTTGCAATGAATTATTGCTGCAAATCAAAGAAGTGAAGACAACAAGGTGGGGAATTAATAAGCAAGCACTGCAGCTGCAAGGGAAAGTCAGAGCAAAGACAGATGAGGGCGTAGAATTAAACAAGATAAATGCTGCAGATTACATATAAGATGTTAAGTAAAAACACAGTACATCCACAAATGCTACCCTGCACCCACGTATGTATTATCAGAACATTTATTCATTTTAAAAATATACATATATACACAGAGTGGTGAGGAACTGGAACAGGTTGCCCAAGGAGGCTGTGGATGCCCCATCCCGGCAGGCATTCAAGGCCAGGCTGGATGTGGCTCTGGGCAGCCTGGTCTGCTGGTTGGTGACCCTGCACATAGCAGGGGGTTGGAACTGGATGATCACTGTGGTCCTTTTCAACCCAGGCCATTCTATGACTCTATGATATGATATATCAAGATGTTCTGGGTATAACTCCCACTCCCAATGGACTACTGTTGGTAGCACATACCTCTGGTCACTATGAAGCTTTCATTCCATAACAAGTAAACTTTCTTCTTTTCATTCAAATAAAACTTGCAAAGCTGAATTTAGAAGCCCTCTGTCTCCTTTGAAGAGATCACTTCAAGAGCAGGCCTACCAAAATCAAGCCCAAACCTTCAGCTAACCAAAGGTCTTGTCATACACACACCTGACATACATTGGCCACATTTCTATACGCTATACTTTTCACCATGGAATTCTGGTCTTACAGATGCCAAGCAGTACAAATGTTTTCCTTCTTACACATATTTCTTAAGAAAAGTAATCACTCTGCTGATTATATTCATTTAATTTTCATGGCTGGCTGTCAATATTATGAATGCTTCGTGAAGTCAGTAGTAATTCATTTATAATTAGGAGCTTTTTTTCAAAGCTGTTTCCCCAGTCCATTCTTTACACTTAATAATTACAGAGGCAGGGCAGCAGCTGGGCACTGTGTTCCATATACAGAAAGTCGAACCAACACCAACATTATGCACACTGCAATAAATGCAGTGCCACAAGCTCAAGATGACTTTCATGAGTGAAGCACAGAAAAAGAAAAGCACAATAGTAACATACTGTTTTCAGCACATGCAGAACACTGATAGTCACTAATCATCTTA